TATCCTGAGACTTTGCTGAAGTTGCTTATCAGTTTCAGGAGATTTTCGGCTGAGACCATGGGGTCCTCTAGATATACAATCATGTTGTCTGCAAATAGAGACAATTTGACTTCCTCCTTTCCTATTTGAATACCCTTTCTTTCTTTTTCTTGCCTGATTGCTCTGGCTAGAACTTCTAGTACTATATTGAATAGGAGTGGTGAGAGAGGGCATCCTTGTCCAGTGCCACATTTCAAGGGGAATGCTTCCAGTTTTTGCCCATTCAGTATGATATTGGCTGTTGGTTTGTCGTAAATAGCTTTTATTATTTTGAGATACGTTCTTTCAATACTTAGTTTATTGAGGGTTTTTAGCATAAAGGGCTGTTGAATTTTGTCAAAGGCCTTCTCTGCATCAATTGAGATAACCGTGTGGTTTTTGTCTTTTGTTCTGTTTATGTGATGAATTACATTTATAGACTTGCGTATGTTGAACCAGCCTTGCATCCCCGGGATGAATCCTACCTGATCATGGTGGATAAGCTTTTTGATGTGCTGTTGCAATCGGCTTGCCAGTATTTTATTGAAGATTTTTGCATCTATGTTCATCATGGATATTGGCCTAAAGTTTTCTTTTCTTGCTGAGTCTCTTCCGGGTTTTGGTATCAGGATGATGTTGGTCTCATAAAATGATGTGGGGCCGGGCGCGGTGGCTCAAGCCTGTAATCCCAGCACTTTGGGAGGCCGAGGCGGGTGGATCACGAGGTCAAGAAATCGAGACCATCCTGGTCAACATGGTGAAACCCCGTCTCTACTAAAAATACAAAAAATTAGCTGGGCATGGTGGTGCGTGCCTGTAATCCCAGCTACTCAGGAGGCAGGAGAATTGCCTGAACCCAGGAGGCAGAGGTTGCGGTGAGCCGAGATCGCGCCATTGCATTCCAGCCTGGATAACAAGAGCGAAACTCCGTCTCAAAAAAAAAAAAAAATGATTTGGGAAGGATTTCCTCTTTTTGGATTGTTTGGAATAGTTTCAGAAGGAATGGTACCAGCTCCTCTTTGTAAGGCGTAGAATTTGGCTGTGAACCCATCTGGACCTGGGCTTTTTTTGGGTGGTAGGCTCTTAATTGCTGCCTCAACTTCAGTCCTTGTTATTGGTCTATTCAGGGTTTCGACTTCTTCCTGGTTTAGGCTTGGGAGGATGCAAGTGTCCAGGAATTTATCCATTTCTTCCAGGCTTACCAGTTTATGTGCATAGAGTTGTTTGTAATAATCTCTGATGACGGTTTGAATTTCTGTGGAATCTGTGGTGATATCCCCTTTATTGTTTTTTATTGCATTTATTTGATTATTCTCTCTTTTCTTTTTTATTAATCTGGCTAGTGGTCTATTTTGTTGATCTTTTTGAAAAACCAGCTCCTGGATTTATTGATTTTTTGAAGGGTTTTGTGTCTCTATCTCCTTCAGTTCTGCTCTGATCTTAGTTATTTCTTGTCTTCTGTTAGCTTTTGAGTATTTTTGATCTTGCTCCTCTAGCTCTTTCAATTTTGACGAGAGGGTGTCGATTTTAGATCTCTCCTTGCTTCTCATGTGGGCATTTATTGCTATATATTTTCCCCTAGAGACTGCTTTAACTGTGTCCCAGAGATTCTGGTATGTTGTGTCTTCGTTCTCATTGGTTTCAAAGAACATCTTTATTTCTGCCTTCATTTCATTGTTTATCCAGTCAACATTCAAGAGCCAGTTGTTCAGTTTCCATGAAGCTGTGTGGTTCTGAATTAGTTTCTGAATTCTGAGTTCTAACTTGATTGCACTGTGGTCTGAGAGACTGTTATGATTTCCGTTCTTTTGCATTTGCTGAGGAGGGGTTTGCTTCCAATTGTGTGGTCAATTTTAGAGTAGGTGTGATGTGGTGCTGAGAAGAATGCATATTCTGTGAATTTGGGGTGGTGATTTCTGTAAATGTGTATTAGGTTTGCTTGGTCCAGGTCTGAGTTCAAGTCCTGGATATCCTTGTTAGTTTTCTGTCTTGTTGATCTGTCTAATATTGACAATGGGGTGTTAGAGTCTCCCACTATTATTGTGTGGGAGTCTAAGTCTCTTTGTTAAGTCATTAAGAACTTGCCTTATGTGTCTGGGTGCTTCTGTATTGGGTGCATATATATTTAGGATCATTAGTTCTTGTTGCATTGATCCCTTTACCATTATATAATGTCCATCTTTGTCTCCTTTGATATTTGTTGGTTTAAAGTCTATTTTATCAGAGATGAGAATTGCAACTCCTGCTTTTTTTTTCTCTCGATTTGCTTGGTAGATCTTCCTCCATCCCTTTATTTTGAACCTTTGTGTATCCTTGCATGTGAGATGGGTTTCCTGGATACAGCACACTGATGGGTTTTGGCTTTTTATCCAATTTGCCAGTCTGCTGTCTTTTGATTGGGGCATTTAGCCCATTTACATTTAGAGTTAATATTGTTATGTGTGAATTGGATCCTGCCATTTTGATGCTAGCTGGCTGTTTTGCCCGTTAGTTTATGCAGTTACTTCATTGTGTTGATGCTCTTTACCATTTGGTATGTTTTTGGAGTGGCTTGTACTGGTTGTTCCTTTCTATGTTTAGTGCCTCTTTCAGGAGCTCTTGTAAAGCTGGCCTGGTGGTGATGAAATCTCTGAGTACTTGCTTGTTCGCAAAGGATTTTATTTTTCCTTCACTTATGAAGCTTAGTTTGGCTGGATATGAAATTCTGGCTTGAAAGTTCTTTTCTTTAAGGATGTTGAATATTGGCCCCCACTCTCTTCTGGCTTCTAGGGTTTCTGCTGAGAGATCTGCTGTGAGTCTGATAGGCTTCCCTTTGTGGGTAACCTGACCTTTCTGTCTGGCTACCCTTAGCATTTTCTCCTTCATTTCAACCCTGGTGAATCTGACGATTATGTGCCTTGGTGGTGTTCTTCTTGAGGAATATCTTTGTGGTGTTCTCTGTATTTCCTGGACTTGAATATTGGCCTGCCTTGCTAGGTTGGGGATGTTTTCCTGGATAATATCCTGAAGAGTATTTTCCAGCATGGATTGATTCTCTCCGTCACATTCAGGTACATCGATCAAATGTAGATTAGGTCTTTTCACATATTCCCATATTTCTTGGATACTTTATTCATTCCTTTTTACCCTTTTTTCTCTTATCTTGCCTTCTTGTTTTATTTCATTGTGTTGGTCTTTGACTCTGATATCCTTTCTTCTGCTTGGTCAATTCGGCTGTTGAAACTTGTGCATGCTTTGCGAAGTTCTCATGTTGTGTTTTTCAGCGCCATCAATTCACTTATATTCTTCTCTAAGTTGTCTATTCTTGTTAGCATTTCATCAAATCTTTTTTCAAGGTTCTTAGTTTCTTTGCATTGGGTTAGAACATTTTCTTTTAGCTCACAGAAGTTTCTTACTACCCACCTTCTGAAGCCTGATTCTGTCATTTCGTCACACTCGTTCTCCATCCAGCCTTGTTCCCTTGCTGGTGAGGCGTTGTGATCCCTTGCAGGAGGAGAGGCGTTCTGGTTTCGGGTTCTTTCATCCTTTTTGTGCTGGTTTCTTCCCATCTTTGTGGATTTATCCACCTGTCGACTTTGTAGTTGTTGACTTTCAGATTGGGTCTCTGAGTGGATGCCCAGTTTGTTGATGATAAAGTTATTTCCTTCTCTTTCTTAGTTTTCCTTCTAACAGTCTGGCCCCTCTGCTATAGGAGAGGTCCACTCCAGGCCCTCCCTGCTTGCCTGGGGATCACCTGCAGCGGCTGCAGAATAGTAAGGGTTGCTGCCAGTTTCTTCTTCTGCTATCTTTGTCCCAGAAGGATACCCGCCAATTTTCAGTCTGAGGTGTCCTTTATGAGGTGACTCTTTGGATATATGGGTGTCAGGGAGCTGCTTGAGGAAACAGTCTGTCCTTTATAGGAACTCAAATGCTGAGCTGTGATCTCCGTTGCTCATTTAGAGCTGCTGTGCAGGTACGTTTAAGTCTGCTGCAGCAGAACTCATAAACCCTTTTTGTTTTTTCCCCAGGTGTTCTGTCCCGGGTAGTTAGGGCTTTATTTATGAGTTTCTGTTGTTCTGCTGCCTTTTTATCAGTGCTGCCCTGCCCAGCAAGGAGGGAGCCTAGTCACTGTCTGCCTGCAGAGGCTTTGCTGAGTTGCTGTGGGCTCTGCCCAGCTGCCTTGTGAACTTCCCTGCAGTCCTGTTTATATGGGTGTCGTTAGAACTGCCTTGGCAAAGCTAGCCCACCTCTGTAATGGCAGACTCTCTCTGTAGTGGCGGGTTGCCTCGGCAACAGCGGCCTGCCTCAGCAATGGCGGTCTACCTCTGTAGTGGTGGAGTGCCTCAGAAATGGCAAATGCCCCTCTCCCACAGAGCTGGACCTTCCTGGGTTCAGCTGTTCTTGCTGTGAAACTCTCAACCCAGAGCGTTTCCAATTGCTGTTTTTTTGTGAGGGTGGGACCAGCCGAGCCTGATCACCTGGTTCCCTGCCTCAAAGCCTTTTTTTTTAGCTGAATGGTCGATTCTCTCCCAGGTGTTACAGTTGCCTGTTGAAAAGGTGCCAGGATCTGTGTGATTTCCTGTGCGGTGACCCACTGCGCTGGCTGAAACAGTGGCGCTGAGATTCGTGACTTTTTTTTGCCCGGGAATCTCCTGGCCTGGCTCCCTGTTTCAGTCCCCTTTTTAATCAGATGAATGGGCGACTCTGCCTTCCCAGAACTCCAGTTGCCAGCTAAACCAGTGCCTGGACCCATGTATTTTGTACGGAGAACTGCCACCCCGGGGTGCTGGCAAAGCAGCCGCCCCAGCCAAACCAGCCATGCTGGCGACCCATGGGACTTGTCCACCTGGGAATCTCCTGGTCTGTGGGCAATAAAAATCCATCTGGAAATGTGGCGTCCACTCACCCTCTGCGCTTTCACTGGGAGCTGCAATCCTGAGCTGCTCCTAATCGGCCATCTTGGATCCTCCCCCTCCAGTAAAACCGGTCTTCTCTTCTTTCAGGTCTTGGTTCTTTGACTCTGCTTTTCTGGTAGAGAAACGCTGAGGATTGATCAACTCTTTCCAGTTTAAAACCATGGCCTGTGTAAGTTGATATTTCTCACCATGTTAATGTGTGTGTGTGTGTGATTTTTTTTTAGGTCGTGTATGTCTTTTCATAATTTTTCCTGAAGTTACCTTCCGTGAAAGGGTGTTCAGTTAACCTGTTCCCCAGTTCTCATTCTTCCCATAAAATGTGTGCCATGTCACGCAGCATCCTTGCTAGGGGGGCCACTGTAAATTCAGTAGCATTCATGTCGTTATTGCCCAGATTACTCAATGTCCTCTAGGTGCCCATTCCTCTATTTTGGGCAGTGACACAGAGGAAAGCCGTCAAGTTCTTTGAGTACAGATATACATGTTTCAGGGTTTTGTCATTTGTTGTGACCAAGACAACAGTTTCATTTGACCATCCATGAGAAGTCTGAAATTTTTCAGACATCTGAGTTTTCCAGCTAGATAAGGTAGAAATTGGTATTGAAGAATGTAAATCTTCAGGTAGGGTAAAATCTCATGCTTTGTGTTAATTAGTCTGTTGGATTGGAACTTGTAAACACAGAGGTCATGGATTTAGATAGAAAGCCCTGAAAAACAGGCTGGGTGTGGTGGCTCACACATGTAATCCCAACACTTTGGGAGGCTGAGGCAGGAAGATCATGAGGTCAGGAGTTTGAGACCAACCTGGCCAATATGGTGAAACCCCGTCTCTACTAAAAAATACAAAAATTAGCTGGATGTGGTGGTGCACACCTGTAGTCCCAGCTACTCGGGCGGCTAGGGCAGGAGAATCACTGGAATCTGTAAGGCGGAGGTTACAGTGAGCTGAGATGGTGCCACTGTACTCCAGCCTGGGTGACAGAACAAGACTCTGTCTCAAAAAAAAGCCCTGAAAAACAAATACCATAAAATAATGATGTCTTGATAAAAACAAAAATGCTTTGCTCATGGTAAGATTTGACATAATGAAGTACTTGATGCTTGAAGAAATTATTAATCTTAAGGAAACCTAATTTTCTGCAGTCAGATATGCTACCTTTGTACCACGAGGTCACAGGAAACCTACTTTTCTAAATTGAGAATCTGTACTTACTTTTCTAAATTGAGAATTTTGGATAAAACATCTCAATTAAAATTTTAAATTATCTTCCAAGTCAAAATATTCCTCAGTTAACACACATTGACTGAGAATTTATGAGGCAGATACTGCTAGGGCATTATGTGCATAATAATGATTTAGTTTAATAGAAATACATCATTATTTTGTCATTTTCTTTTTTTTTTTAATTGCATTTTAGGTTATTTTGTCATATTCAAAAGGCTCAGATACCTAAGAAGTGTCCCAGAATAGGCAGAAAGTTTTGTCTGCATTTCAGGTTTCTTCAAAAATATGTATAAAATTCTATTTCATTCCCCTCCCTGATAACATAGATTTCTGGTCTGTGTGCTGGTTATATTGCTCTTCTGCTGTAATGCAGCCCTTCATCTCTTCCACTTTATTTTCTAAGCATTTTCTTTAATTTCTCCAGTAATACATGGGTTTGCTGTTTCAGAGATCGATAACATTCAGGGATGTGGCCATAGACTTCTCTCTTCAGGAGTGGGAATACCTCAACCTCGTTCAGAAGACCTTGTACCAGGAGGTGATGATGGAGAACTATGATCACTTAGTCTCACTGGGTATGTTTATCGACCTGGAATGACTTAGAATAATTTAGAATCTTTTCTGTAGGATATATTCTTTTTTCTGTCGTGATTTTTAGGGCTGCGTTTTTTTTCTCTTGTTTGTTGCTTTTTTTTTTTTTTTTTTTTTTTTTTTTTTTTTTAGAAATTTTTTTTTTTTTTTTTTTTTCTACTGAGGTGGTTTCAGCTTTGTTGAGTCAGGAATGGCAGCTCCTTTCAACACTTTCATCTTCTCTATCTTTCAGTGACATTCACACCTCCCTCTGCTACTTCTTTTATTTGTTTCTGTTCTTTAACCCAGTACATGGGTTAAACCAGTGGTTTAGCTTAGAATTTTCTGGTGCTCATTGTAGAACCATTGTCAGGGCGTTTAGGTTTCTTATTTAGTTTGTGGCACAGAATTGCTGTAGTGCTCCATTTCATTATCTGCTCTAGTTGCAGGGATATTAGCTTGAAAGAGGGTGCTGAATTACTATTACTATCAAAAGAGATAGCCTGTACATGTAGTCATAGAGGGGTGGATTGGTTAAATGAAATTTACTTAAATCTAAGGAGAAAGCAGTGCATTTCCTGAGACAGAATTCATTTGATTTATGGTTAAAACTCATAATCCATGAAAATTACATATAAAATGGGATGAATATGCTACAGCTATCTCTTCTTGTATACATTTAGTAAAATAATTGCAGTAGCATAATTTTAACAGCTAGCATTGTGATTTCCACACAGACATTTTTCTAAATACTCATGTATCAAATAATTGAATACTCCCAACAGCTTTATTAGTTTCCCAATTTTATTAAGAGAGAATACTGAGCAGCAGTATAAGTGACTTGCCCAAGGTCACGCACACATGACAGAGTCAGGAATTGATCCCAGGCTTTTTTTTTTTTTTTGAGACAGTCTTGTTCTGTTACCCAGGCTGGAGTACAGAGGTACAATCTTGGCTCACTGCAATCTCCACTTCCCAGGTTCAAGCGATACTTCTGCCTCAGCCTCCCTAGTAGCTGGAATTACAAGCGCCACCACCACACCCAGCTAATTTTTGTATTTTTAGTAGAGGCGGGGTTTAACCATATTGGCCAATCTAGTCTCGAACTCCTGACCTCAGGTGATCCGCCCACCTTGACCTCCCAAAGTGCTGGGGTTACAGGCATGAGCTACCACACCCAGCCAATCCCAGGCTTTAGAGTTTGTGTTTTCAACTACTTTATTCTTGCTTTTTCTAGAGTTAGAGGACATATAAGTTTAAATTTCTTTGAAAACCAGCAAACAAAAGCAGATCTCCCTGGGTGATCTTTTTTTTTATTTCTCTCATTCTTCTCTAAAATCTTATTCAGTATCACTTTGACCTTTCATTTATTGCAATTATAATTTTAAATTTGACCTTCAAAGTTGATTTCTGTATTTTGTGGTACTTCTTTCCTTTGTAAGCAGGACATTCCATATCTAAGCCAGATTTAATCACCTTATTGGAGCAAGGAAAAGAACCATGGATGATTGTGAGGGAAGAGACAAGAGGAGAGTGTACAGGTAAGAGCAAGTCAGGAAGGGGCAGTCATATTTGTATGTGGAAGTGGTCATCTCATATGGTAAATGCATCCTTGAAACATTGATCTTAAAATTTCCTTCTCAGGGAGGAGGCTTGAGATGTGGAGAAGAAATGGATATCTCAGCATGAAATAGCCAATGAAGGCTGGGTGTGATGGCTCAGTGCCCTAATCCCAGCACTTTGGGAGGCCGAGGCGGGCAGATCACCTGAGGTCAGAAGTTCAAGACCAGCCTGGCCAACATAGTGAAACCTCTTCTCTACTAAAAATACAAAAATTAGCTGGGCATAGTGGTGGTCGCCTGTAATTTCAGCTACTAGGGAGGCTTAGGCAGGAGAATCATTTGAACTCGGGAGGCAGAGGTTGCAGTGACCCAAGATCATGCCATTGCACTCTAGCCTCAGCAACAAGAGTGAAACTCCGTCTCAAAAAAGAAAAAGAAATAGCCAATGAACTGCATGTCTCCTTCAGTACCTACTCGCTATGTTATTTTTCTTATAATTCTCTTCCAGTTTAGTGACAAGTGCTGTCCTTCCAGGATGCAGTCATTTTACTTGCATTTTGTGTCCAAATGCTCTCTAGGTCCTCTTTTGCACAGATTCATATACATGAGTCCATTTGCTAAAAGTACATTCTTTGGTTTTTTTGAGATGGATCCTTGCTCTGTCGCCCTGGATGGAGTACAGTGGTGCAATCTCAACTTGTTGCAACCTTTGCTTCCCAGGTTCAAATGATTCTCCTGCCCAGGAGTTTGAAACTAGCCTGGGCATAGTGAAACTGAATCTCTACAAAAAAATTTCTTAAAAATTAGCCAGGCAGGCCGGGTGCGGTGGCTCAAGCATGTAATCCCAGCACTTTGGGAGGCCGAGGCGGGTGGATCACGAGGTCAAGAGATCGAGACCATCCTGGTCAACATGGTGAAACCC